AAAGGATGACGCCATAATTTTTTAAAATGGGGTCAATATATAAGAAATGACACTGCATATTTTCTAACATCTACTCTCTCTATCTATTTTTTTTCAAAGTTTAATTGAAACAAGAATCAATAAAATACAAAAACAAATCGGACAAAATGATTATTTTTATACTCCATACTATTTGGTGATTTCAAAGGTTTTTGGATATATATATTACTCTGTATTGAATGATTGAGTAAAGTGAACACGAGAAACTGATAAGTAATGTTCTAAATAATTCTCATAAAACTATTAAAGGTCGTGTACTCATGTTTATTGGTCAAAATATAAAAACTACGGAGTACTTAATTATTAATATTTTTATACATTATTTTATTTATAATACTACCTCCGTCCCTTAAAACTTTGCGAAAGTTGACCGGCACGGAGAATAATAATAAAGTAAAAACTGTGTGGTTGAGGTTTGTTCAGAGGAGAGAGAAATAATAGAAACCACAAAATATTGATTAAAAGGGAAAGTGGCAAAGTTTTTAGGACGCCCCAAAAAGGAAAGATGACAAAGTTGTAAGGGACGGAGGGAGTATTACTTTAATTGTTGACACCACTACTGTCCCTGTAGTTAATGGTAATTTATAATTCCAAATCAAACTTCACTGGAGTACATTGCAATATTGCATGCATAGAGATTCATTCAAGTCACCTCCATATTGCAAATCTCTTATTCTGCATACAAACTGCACAGGAAAATGGAAATCCCTTTTCTGACGCTTTCGCCTTGGGTCCACCAATCAACAACGCTGCTCTGGTGTCATGTGGAGCTGAATTTCAGCACCATCCCAGCTACATTGTACTGCCACCTGCAAGTCCATATGATAATTTTCTAAAGGCTGTCGGAGGTTAAAGTCTGTATATCCAATACTTACATGTTTCAGATCGAACTACTGGTACACTTTCTGGGAAAAGCATTTGGGGCGCGCGAAAAAATGGTCAAAAAGTACAGTATTTAGGATTGTGTATGAGTGTTACAGAAAGCAAAGATAATCTCTGACTGTATGCTTAATGGACAATATTTGTACTAAGTAGTGCATATATTCATTTAACTTGTTGGAGGATGGTCGATTGGTCGTAGTAAAGAATGCATAAGACTCATTTTATTCATTTATTGCATTTGTATCTTTACTTGTTTGGGACGAATTGACGATTGTAGTAATCTGTTATAGTATCTGTTCTATGTTAAGGTAACATCTTTGAACTGGGATGAGATTCGAACATGTGACACCCTAACCTATTATAGACTTATAGTACTCCCTCCGCCCCGCTAAGATTGTCCCAGACACTATTCACTTGGTCAGCACAAATCACTCTTAACCTCTTACTTTATGTATCAATTTTTTATTTATCAAATTTGATTCTGATTTTTGCGACTTTGTAAAATTTTTAAAGTACTTTCGGAATATGTAATTTATTTTTTCGAAAAATAATTTGAGTGCGAACATGGATATGTTTGCTTTATCGTCAGTTAAGCATCGTAAACTGAATTGTCCCAAACATAGTGGGACAAAGGTAGTATCTGTTATTCTATTTTATGTTAAGGCCAACATTCTTATCTGGGATGAGATTCGAACATGTGACCTCCTCCTTGAGAGTGTTACAGTACTAAAGCCTTCAATACTAAAAAAACGTTTTTCTTGTTCATTAGAGTGTCTCACGTTTTTCTGTTTTAATGTACATTTGTAGAGATGCTTTGTTTTATGAATGATAAATGACATGTGGTTGAAATTGTTAAAATGATTGATGTGGTTTAAACCAATTCTTATCACATGATGCTTGGTTGTTTGCTTGTTAGCTTTATGTTATGATCACACTTCCTATCGTTATAAAATAAAAAGTGTATACAAATTGTACACGATATATATATATCTTTTTCTTTTTTACCCTTCCCCTCACTACTCTTTTACCCATTAATTTTCTGCTCCGTCACTCCTCTCTCATTCTCTTCTCTGTGCTCTAGTTCCCTTCTTTTTCATTTTTTTTCATTCTCAATCTCTCAAACTTCTAAACCATTTTCAATCCTTCTCCCCATTTAACTGTATACATGATTCGTTTTTCTCTATTATTGGTCATTCTTCTCAAACCATGAGGTAATATCTATTTCCAATTTTTCTTGTGTGCTTTACATTTTTTTATGTGTTCTGATTTTATAAATATTGTGTATGTTATAACCTTGAATAATTGATTAGTTCATTTTATTGTAAGAGATATGAAGTGTTAATTACTGAAATTTTAGGGTTATTACTCTAGTTCATTTATGCCCATAACATGTTTGTTGAAATCACTCAATGAACTTTTTACTCAAATTCATGATTTTGTTCTCGTTTATCCTGATGTACATTAGTGTTTAATTAGTTTTAGACTCTGTTTTTCGGTTTCTCTGTTTTACTATGATATAGTAAATTTTTAATGACTATTCTTTGATTATTATGAATTTAGTAGATGATTTTTCTTTTAGGGCTATATTTGTTTCTACTTTTTCAAATTTTACGTATGTTATTAAAGTGTTAAATGTTTGACTGTTTGGTTTCATTGTTATGGATTGGTGATATTTATTATTCTAATTTCAATCAAACGGAATGGGAGGAGGCGGGAATGGGGAAAATGAGGAAATTTTATCCTAAATTCTAAACCCCTCTCATCTTGATCCAGTAATTCTAACTCATTTTTCGTTATATCCACTGATTGAACGTTAGGAACGTTAGATCCAATGAGTGGTGTGGCTGAAAAAAATAAACAAATTACTAGTATTAGCACTCTAGATGTGTGCACTACAGTTCATATAAAATTTTATAACTTACATTGAGGACTGTAGATCCAGTTTCAGGATCAATGTATATACCAAATCCTCTTACAGTCGCTCTCTTTCTTCCTCTACCTCCTCTTTCTCTCACACTTGTGCCCCTTTCAGCTGCATTCGTAATGCCTCTCCCCCCATGCCCAGTTATTGGTGCACTGCCTCATCCCCTCCCTCTTCCCCTTGACCTTGGTCCACGTGGACCCCTCTTAAGCCCTTGTGCAGGTTGGGTGTTGGATGACATGATGACCTGTTATGCTCTTCTTGTTTGCAAGTCGAAAAAGACATGATTCTACCCTTTCTTGAGAGCTAAGATCCTGATGGAACTTTTGTTTATTCACGGAGTGTTTTCTTTTTTGGCCTTCCACTCATTTTTTTGGACATTGGGGCCTGAATTTCTTCATCATTTGCTAACCTGGGCCAAAACATCTCACCATTGATGGACTGCAATGTATGCGAGTATGTTTTCACAAACATTTCTTTTGAGTAGTAGCTTTCCAAATACTCCTCAGGGTTTTGACCATGGTCCAGTATAGCACATACTGCATGTGCACAAGGTATACCTGATACATCCCATCTTCTGCAAGAGCGTGATCTTCCTTGTAGTTTCACTTTAAATTGATGTCTTTCTTCTTAATCTCGTACCCATTATCTCCATTAAAGTCAACATGCCACCCTGAACTAGCTAGAATGTTTTTATCCAGCTTCTTCGGGATCAGAGGACCAAAGTTTCCTGAATTATATCAGTACATATAAGGTTAAATTTTGAATCTAACAAACTTAATAAACAAGTAAAACTGAACAGACTTGGGGATGTACCTCAACCCCTCCAAATAAACATTAGCTAGACCCTGAAAATAATATGGTATATATGTTAGAATATGGTATCTATTTTACATTACGTGGATCGTGACAAGTAAAAATAAAATGAATCTTTTGTTGATCACTAATAGTAGTCCAATCTTCAGTGTTGTCAATATTGAGGTCTTGCTTTAGTAACTCAAGAAACCAGGCCCAAGAGGAATTATTCTCAATTTCCACCACACCCCACGCAATAGGATACATCTGATTGTTTGCATCCCTTCCAACGGCTATAAGGATTTCACCCTTAAGATGCCTTTTTAGAAAACATCCATCTTCCTTGATTACCTTTCTACATCCTTCCCCAAATCCCTTTTTTACAGGCCCAAAGCACACATAAATTCTCTGGAATATGGATGGACCATTTGGGACAACCCTTACTGTCTTAACTACCAGCACAATGCTGCTAAGAATAGACTTCTAGCACTCTTCAACGTAACTCCTTATTCTCTTGAACTGGTCTTTAAATGATGCCTTTGTTTTTTCTTGTATTCCCATGACAGTTCTAGTAGCAATGATTATAGATATATTGATCTTTAATTCAGCTTTCACCAAGGATTTAAATTCCACAACACCAATGCATGGGTTTTCTGTCACCTTGTCTTCAAATCTATCCTCTGATCTAACCACTTCTGGCTGACAACCCTCAGTTTGAACTTAGAATTGCACAAATGCTCTGACATTAACACCTTCACTTGAAAGCATTTGAATCTTTTTTCCCAACTGCCAGTGTACCCAAAGGACATGTGGAGCACATTTAACTTGAACTCTTAAAGGCTCATTTTTCACAAAACAAATGTTTTCGTTTTCATGCACTGCATACCTTATCATAGCATTCTTAAAGTCCCTACCATCCTCAAATAGCATTGCCAATTCAATTAAAGGAGGTTCAGAATGAGGGTTATACACATTCGGTCGGTCGGTCAAATAACCGACAACTATTTTTTCCTCTCATAGCCGACCGAAAACCGACCGACAACATTACAAAAACCGACCAAAAAATGTCATTCGGTTTCGATCGGTAACCGAATAACCGACCATAACCGACTCTATTTCAAAATCATATATTTTTAAAATTATAAAAGTTGTGGATAACACATTAATAAATAAAAGACTTTTTTGTCCTAAATGGGACTAAAATGTTCCTGAAATTCCTAAATAGGACTATGCATATTTTTTTTTACCTAAATAGGATTAAATTACTCATTTACCCTTACTCTTTCTTTTTTTCCCCTCTTTTCCCACGCCATCTTTTCCCCTGCGCAACATCTCCCCCTGCTCAGCTTCCTTTCCCTTTCCACCCAACTTCTCTTTCCTCTTGCACAAGAACAAGCAAACCCTAGCTCGAAGGCCGCCGCCACGGATGAGAAGTCTGCCGCCGCTGCCCAGTCGAAGCCATCGCCGCCGCTGCCCAGTCGAAGCCATCGCCGCCGCTGCCCAGTCGAAGCCATCGCCGCTGCTGCCCAGTCAGATCCATCACCGTCGCCGCCCAGTCAGATCCGCCGCCGCCGCCGCTGCGAAGTCCGCTGTCGTGGAGATTTTCTTCTCTTCTTCGAAGGTCAGATTATTCTCCCCGTCCTTCCTCTCCTCTTCTCTGGTTCTCTCTTCCTCTCTTCTATTTCATTGCACTTGCTCCATCTCTTCTTTGTTTGATAAAAATTGCCAAGTTGAGCTCCGAAAATGCCATCAAAATGGCATTCTTATTCTACAAATGTTTTGTATTTTTCTTTGAAAATGCCATTAAGTTGGCATTCTCCATTCGTTTTTGGCATTTTGACAAAAATGTTGGCATTCGTGCTAGGGACGGCCAGATCTGCAACAATAGAGGCCAGATTTGCAATGGAGGTGCCGGATTAGTTGCGACTGTGGTCGGATCTACAATAGCGGTGGCTGGCGGTCGATGCAGGTTAGATCTGACCAGATCTCCGGCGGTGTCCAGTAGATCTGCAGCGGCGACAATCATATCTACAACGGCAGTAACGTCCGGCGACCGGCGGTGACCGGCGGCGATCGGCGGGGACCGGCGATCGGCGGTGGTCCGAAGTTCTGGTTGGCGGCAGAATGATTATCAAGCTTCAAGGGTGTTTTTGTCAAATTATAAAAAATAACTCCTATTTGGGAGATTTTTAAACTTTAGTCCTATTTTGGCAATTAATGATTTATTTAGTCCCATTTAGGTCAATACCTCTAAATAAAATTATAAAATAATAAATACTAAAATGGATTTAACATATTTAAATGTAAATAATTGTACACAGCACAATACAATTACAAAAACTAAAAAATTTCACGTTGAGAATATTTCACCGTTAATTCCACAATTGTCTTTGTCAATCTGGAAACAAAATAAAAAAGGACATGTTAGCAAATAAATAAGCTACAGAGTATTAACTTATTAAACATTGAACCCCAAACTAGCAAATTCATCTAAAAGCTTCGGAATATTTTAAATCTCACTTTAAATAAAAAATATTAAAAATCTCACTAGAACCGAATAAAAACCGAATAACCAAATAACCGATTATTTTAAATTTATGATAACCGAAAACAAATTTTTTCGGTCGGTTCGGTCATCGGTTTTCGGTCAAGTCGGTTGAATCAGTTATTTGCTCACCCCTAATACACAAGATGGCTGCACTTAATCTTTTTTTGGGTGCACAACACGAGTTTCTGATTCCTCATCTGAGTCCAAGCTAGAAGGACTATCTGAGTCATATTCACTGTTGCATTACTCAGAATCAGAAGCAGCTAAGTCCTCATTGGCCTGTTGTGGGTCATCAATGCCATCTTTACCTGTCCCATCTTCACCATCAATATCTGAAGTGTGAATCTATTCTTCATCTGCAATGTTAGCATCTGATTCAAAAGGGACCTCCCAAAGATCTTCATCATCTCACTGTAACCCATGCTCTTCATGTTCTTCAACATCCCTATCTTCACTCTCACTTTCCATTACAGTTGGATCTCCCTCTTCATTAGGCTCTTTCCGTGAATCACTTCCACCAACCATATATTCATGTTCTTCAGCATCCCTATCTTCACTCTCACTTTCCATTGTAGTGGGATCTCCCTCTTCATTAGGCTCTTTCTGTGAATCACTTCCACGGGCCCTATCTTCATTTTCTTTTGCATTTGCATCCTTTGCATTGTCTGGTTTGGGCTGTGTTCCTTCAGCATTTGGATCAGGTAATGGGAGGAAGTCTACCAACTCAACTTCATCCAAACCATGTTGTACATACACATCACACTGTCCACAACATCTACCTATGTCTATTAAATGTAAAGTTGACTCATCGTTAAACAACTCATATAGAGTTTCCATAAGGCCTGATGGTTTCTTAAAATAAATCCCTTGAATATTCCCATACCCGATTTGAGGAACTTCATTAAATGAGGGTAGCATATGAAATCATGATCTATTTCCAAATTATTGACTTCACCACTCATGTACATACGCGTAGGGTTGTTAATTAAACTCCCCCGATGGTGAATGGTTAGCTGAACCTTAGCTTGTCAAACATTCCGAAAAAAGAGGAGTGGTTGGCCAATTAAAACCAAAGCTTAATTTTTGAACAATTAACGATTCTCAATAACGAGTATAACAACAACGGTTGGAATCAAACATATGGGTCCCAACTATCATGTACCGTTCTAATATGACTTTACACGTACTTGTACTACACAGAAGTAAATGCGAGAAGGTGAAGCCGGTACACCCACGAGTTTTTGGCGTTACAAGTTTTCTTCTCCGGTTAAAAGCGAAGGGAAGAACATCCAAATTAGGGTTACGTTAACTTGGGGAATGTTTGAAACATACTTCGTATAAACTGCCCTTAGATGATGCTTACATGGATTATTAGAGCCACATTAGTAGCCACGGAAGCATCTAACTAGCCAACGGGGGCGTACCGGCTAATAGTATGTGAGCCTATTTGATAGTTTTCTCTTAATAAAAAAATATTGTTGTCAACTTATTACTTTCAAATTTCAACTCCTACGAATAAACAAGATAGTATTGTTGTCAACTTTTTACTTTCAACTTAATAGATATAGAAAAATATACCAAGCAGTAATCATACTATGGTATGGTATATATGACACATCCTACATCCAATTAGACATCATACAGAATGTGAGGAGAAATTGTCGATTAAAGTTGAATTAAAATGAATAACGGAGTCGAAGAAAAATATACAAATGACCTCGCCAGTTTAGCCGAGGTCATTGATACAAACTTTAACAGTTTAGCCGTTCTGCAAGTTAATCATCATCTTCAAAGTCTGAATCGTCAGTGACCTCGGCAGGATCACTGGCATCACCATCTTCCTCCTCAGAATCGCTGAGTACATAAGTTGTCCTCGGACGGGTTGACCTCTGTGGTCTGCTTCTTGTAGCCGCCGCCACAGAGTCATCGGCTGACGCTGCGGAAGAACCTCCACTCACATCCTGTTGCTGTTCTTCACTTTCAGTAGTCAAATCACCCAAGCTGCCTATGCTGCTGCTGTTGATTCTGCCGAGCACAGACCCACTCTTCTTGTTAAAAGGAGACGCCCTCATCTTCCTTACTTTTTTCTCAGGCGAAGAAGCAGGCTTCAGCACTTCTGTTATCAGTTTCTGCCCAGCAGCAACGGATTTAGCCGCGGGTCCCCTTTTCTTTGTTGCCGCAGGAGCTTTAGCTGCAGGTTTCCTTCCGCCACCCTTCTTTTTCTCTGCTGCCGGTGCTTCAAAGTCCCCATCCTCATCATCATCGCTGATATTAATCTTACCAGGCAGCGGCGGCTTCTTTGCTCTTTTGCTGATGGTTTCTTTTCTTTGGGCTTTGGGCACTTCAGCTGCTGCCTTCGTGGCTTCTGGCAGATCAGGTGATGAGTCAAGGTTGTACGCGGCCAGCCTATCTTTCAGCTCTAGAACGTCCACATCATCTTCTTCTTCATCTATTAACATAACTGATGATTTTCCCTTCTTAGCAGCAGCAGCTTTCTTTGCACCACCAGCAGCTCCTTTGCCTTTTGGCTGCACAATCTCAGGGACCTCCTTGTCCACAACAAAACCATCCGAAACCTCCATAGGCTCAGAAGCAGCAGCTTCTTTGGCAGTGGTGGCTTTCTTATTCCGTGGTTTCTTAGGCGCTGCTGCCTTCACCTGAGCAGCTTTACCGCCACTCCCCACCGCTTTACTCTTTCTCGAGTTCGCTGCCTCCGAAGCAGCATCAAGTTTATCTTGTTCCTGAAAAATATATGCAGCATAAGCACAGTGAAGAAGAAATGAATTTCAAACACACACCAAAAAATAAAAAGGTAGTTGAGACAGTTCATACATCAAGCTGAATTTCAAGACAATCGAGATCTTTCATCCACAGAGACTTGGGAGTAGCTTTCCTCATACACTCCACCTCTGCATCAAGTTTTCCCTTTTCAGCACACAGCTCTTGAACCTTCTCAAGAGTAAGGGTTCCAATTGCCATCGACAGCAAGTAATCATAATCACTGGCTTTTGCATTTGCTGCTGCCACTTGACTACTACTCTCTTCGTTCTCTTCTGCATCCTCACTTGATTCAGCCACAGCTTTAGCCTTCTTTGGGAATGGAGTAAATCCCTTCTCTCGCAGCTCTTCCAACAGTTCTGCTCGCTTCCTGTTGCTTACAATGATCTCCCCTCTCACCACTCCTAGGATAAACCTGACCTTGTTATCAAGTTTCAGCAGCTCTGTTTCAAGAAATTCTAACAGAACTCTCTGCATAAATTATTTAACAGTTAGTGAGTGCAGGAGGGTGGGATGTCTAGTTGGAAATGGAAACCATGACTTGCATATCAACTTGCCTTCCTTTTTGCGTAAAACTCAAGCCTTACAATGAAGAATTCCTCCATGACTGTTTGATTGAAGAAAATACAAGAGAGATCAGTCACATACGGAGCACGACTTAGACATCAATAAGTATAATTACAATTCCATTAAAACAAGACTCACTTTGTTCAGGTGTATCGTATTTTTTTATTACACCTTTTGAGTCAAAGAGGTGCATGTTACTTGTGCTGATTGTTGTTGTCAGTTTAAATCTTTTGATTAGACCCTCTTGCTTGGCAACCATCATACTCTCTTCAGAAAGTTCAATTTCGAAGTGTACGGTATTCACATCGTGGTACTCCCTCAGTTCCTGCCAAAGTAAAAGCATACTTCAAACAATAAGTCCCTTTCTTTTCTTCCTAAATAAACTTTAAAATGGCAGTAAGAGAATGTACCTTTATGAAAGGGTCCTTGACCTTGTCATTTGAAGCCATCATTGATGTCAGAAACTGCTTGTAATCTTCAGTCCATCTCCGAATGGGTAACTCTATTATCTTTAGTGTTGTTTCATCAACCTCCTCAATGATTCCAGTAACTGTGTACGTAACCCCAGCTTCTTTGGTTGCTGTTTTCTCAATGGATCCTTGAAAACCTTTATACCATGGATCCATGGGCTTCATTGGTTCATCATTTAACAGGCACCTCATGTTTGCAATAATATCCCTTGGATTGTAATTCGGGATGTATGTGCTCCAACCTGTCCCTATTCCTTCACAGCCATTAATTAGTACCATTGGAATGACTGGGACGTACCTGTGGTCCAAAGAGCAAATTATTCAGTCAATTAAGTATTCATCTGTTATTGTATATACTGTAAATCAGACAAACCTTTTCTATAATATCGTCTACATTTTACTTACCAAGTAGGCTCAATGGACTGGCCATCCTCATTCAAGTAGTCAAGGAGTGTGTCATCTTCTTTGCGAAACAAAAATCGAGCAGCGGGCGAAAGTTGAGTGTAAATGTACCTAGCGCTGGCATGGTCCTTGCCACCCTATAAAGAGAGTTTGGTTGTATCATAAGATAAAATCATTATCTTCCTCCAAAATATTGTGTGTACATTCACTGACAATACAGAAACAACTAAAAAGTTACTAATTGAACATGATACGCCATGTGCAGTTTGACTTACCGCACTTCTTGTGCCAAATTGACCATTTGGCAGGAAAAGGTTAATGTTATTGCTGCCAACGTAAGTCTGAGCCATGCCAAC